CACACTTCTGCAAGTGTTTCCCCAGCGTGCTGAAAATTGCGTTTTTCCAGTTCATCATCCGTAGTCTTTGCTTTGTCATCGAGATGAGAACCAAAATGTTCATGAGGCAGAATGACGCCTGCTAGTCGTTTGCTGAGGGGAGCCATGCGACGCTCAACTCGGTTATATGCGCTCCGCCCAGGAGCATTAGTCGCTATAAACAGGGCGTCCAGATTGTATTTTTTAAAGTGTTCAATCGCAAAGTTCTTGACTTTGCGATAACGCGGGTTTTCGTCCGGCCCACCATCTACAAAGATGATGATCACTGGCTTCACGGTGTTCGATTCTGTCATCATTAAGGGTTTGAATGCAGGTATTGATAAAAGTGATTCGAAATCATAAGCATGTGTGTTCGCTGTGGAGGATGCATGTTTTCCGCTCCTGATGCATATGTGTGTCGGCCCGCTGTATCCAACAGCTTCTTCCTTACCAAAGCTGTTATTAGGTTCCACGTTGACGCCGGCGTATACAGAAGGAATAAGTTTATGCCGTTCTGCCACGACCCAGTCATGATCAGGTAAAAGTATTCTGTACTCCATGTGCATTAAAAGCGGGCTCTGACTTTTCACTGCCGGTAAACCTATTGGTACACGTGCCTTATCGTCTTGTGAAAGAACGAATACTTGCTGCGGTCCCAGAAGTGAAGCGAGAGATTCCAATGACCTGATTGTAGCTGTGCAAAATTCTCCGTCCTCGTGCGTTTTGTGCATCTCGGCCTGTGGTCTTGCTAACTTTACGGGTACGGTACGTACGTGCCTTCTTCCCTCTTGAGTGTTAGAAGCGCGTGGGAGTAAATGCAGATATGTGCCGCTTCGAGAAATTTGGAATCCCATTGACAACAGCCTTTCATGCAGGTCGGACAGAGTGAGACAACTCCTAATCATCTCTGTTCGGCGGCGTTCATCAGCAGCGCTGCCATGAATGGCAATATTAATTATAGTCTCTAGGAGAGCAGGTTGCGAGTCGACTAAAGGGGGCTGCCCAGGGCCAGTTCGGGGTTGTGCTGCAACTGCTGCAGCAGGATTGTTTCTCTGACGTTCTGTTTTCTCCAGTTTTTCTTTGGCTCGAAAAATTTTTGCACGCTTAGCAGAGTCTCTTTTTTTCTTTAAACATTTCTCTTGTTCTTTCAACTCTTTACGTAGCTTTTTTATTTCGTCGTGAACATCATCTTTTGCTAAACCAGTGTCCCTTGCTTCAGTAAGAACATTTATTCTCTGTTGCAGCAGACCAATTTTCTTTATGAGAGTTTCTTGAGCCGGTTTGCTTGAAACAGTTTTAATGATGCCCGAATCAGTCAAAGTCGTGTGTGGCTCCGTAGACGATGTCTCCACAGTTTCCTCGTCAGTATTCTGACCTTGCTTATCGTCGGTATCGCTCATCTTTCGTTTGACGGCAGTGCTTTCTTGTACAGCGACAGCGCCAATCGATTCCGTAAGAGATGAGCACGTGGATGAAGCTACAACATCCGAAACCTATGGACCAAGGGAAAATAAATTAAGAATTGGTATATATTGGCACATGCGATAAATAAATAAACCGGCCAAGTGCGAATCGGACTCGCGCACGAAGGGTACCAAAAAAGGCAAAAAATGAAATTATTTGTATGGGAGCCCCCATACAAATAATTAAATATTAATTTTATTCTGTTTCTAGTATTTGTTGTTATAGCGGCAACAAAAATACATAATCTGTGAAAAATTCAACTCTCTAGCTGTCACGGTTCTCGAGATACAGCCCGGTGACAGACGGATGGACGGACGGACGGACAGCGAAGTCTTCGCTGTCCGTATATAGTATAGTATAAGGTCCCGTTTTTACCCTTTGGGTACAGAACCCTAAAAAGAACATAATATACAAAATATATATTTAAGCAGATGCACCTGTTTTTGTTGAAGAGCACGCGAAGTCGAGGGTACATTGGGCCCTGGTGTTGCTGGCATGTTTGATGTTTTCATCGGTAGCTAGAAAAATATAATACTTATGACCAGTTTTTTAATGATAATTTTTAATAAAAAAAATAAAACCGATACGAAAAAAGAACTGTTTTTGTTAAAATTACCAGAAATGTACCGACTTCATTGAATATATTGTTCTGGTAATAAATTGATTGTTCACAAGAATATAAGATTGAAGAAAATTTGGAAATCGGCCTTCAAATGACGGAGAAATCGGTGAACATACATAAAAGAAATAAGTATTATATTTTAGCAGTAAACTTACCTGTGTAAAATATCCAAGCATTATTGCTTTCTTCTTCGTGGCCTTTACCTTCAACTCTCGTATAACATGGTTTACATGTTCTAATAACTTTTCTTTATTTTTTAGTTTTTCTTTGGCCTTTTTCCAAATTTCGTTGGCATTTTTTGACACTGTTGCGCTGATAAGTCAGCATGAGCGCTTTTATAGGCCAAGAACAGCTGATGATGCAAATCTCCCTCTTTTGAAGTCATCACACAACACTATATGAACTCACTTTAATAATACCGGCTACAACAATGTGCTTCAGCATAAACACTAACGAATTCTGACGATGAAAACAATATTAAATGACGTTCAATACAATCCAGGGATTCCCCATCAAATATAAAGGAAAAGGTTTGCCAACTTGACAAATACAATCGAGGGATTCCCCGTAAAATGTAAGCGAAAAGGGTTGCCAATTTGGGAGTTTTTCTTTCCCTATTTTTTATTAACGTGTAACAATGTTACGTAACGTGTTGTAAGAAAGACCCCCTCCCCCTGTAACGCATCGTAACGTTTCACGAGACCCTCAAAATTGCGTTACGTAATACTTGAACGCTCCCCACCCGACTGCTGATCTCCACAAATCGTACAAAGTTCTCAGGCAGGCAGCGGTTTATTTTATTTGCGGTTTTGAAACGACACTCTCAGGCATCCTTCGCTCCATCTCTGCTGGTCTCGCGACGCAAAAATATTATGTCCTCCAGAATTAATTTCGATAACTACTGCTCAGCGTTTCTTTCAATTCTTAGGCCTTTTCATATACAATAAAATAAATATCTTCCAGCCCTTCACTTTTTGCTCTCTCTCCAAATACTAATGTTAGTTAAAATTCCTTTGGTCCATCTTCGTAACTGTTTTTCATAACTAGTTACGAAAGAAGATTTTTCCTTCACTGTTTCGTAACCAGTTATTAAAAAGGAATATTTTGGTCCATCTTCGTAACTGTTTTTCATAACTAGTTACGAAAGAAGATTTTTCCTTCACTGTTTCGTAACCAGTTATTAAAAAGGAATATTTAATCCGTATTCAAAACTCCAGTTACGAAAACGGATGCAAATTTGTTCTTTTCATAACCAGTTACGAAAAAGGCTTACTTTTTTCTCTTTTTGTATCTGACTAGATCTCTTTTGCAACTATGATGAGTTGCACACAAACACACACACGCGGGCGTGCACACAAAATTTCTTTTAGTTGTTTAGGTTGACAACATGTTTCCTCAATACTCTTACAGCCAATACCACTACCACGACATCCTAGAGGTTGGGTGCCTGGGGACCCACGTTTACACCAGTTTAATACTATCATATATTACCCTAGCTATGCTTAGTTTGGGCTCGTCTCCCACAATACATTACTCTAAACATATGTAACAATATGTATTACCACTGCAACGTGTTGGTACTTGGTGCAAAGGGCTGGTGTCCGCAACTCGACGTCAAGGCGCCTATTTTGCGTGTGGTGGGTGCAGGATCCTACTCGTGCCACACAAGCTCCTCCAGGAATCTCAGCAGCCTCCTCGGTTTGCTGAAGACTTCGGGGAGCGACCTTGGCACTCCAAGGTACTTTGCCCTGTAGTTGGACACACCGGAGCACTGTAGTAGGATGTGCGCAGCCATTTCCTCCCCCTCCATGCACGCTCTGCATAGAGGGCTGTCTGTGATACCTAAATTGAAAAGGTGTTTATTGTATGGACCATGACCCGTTAGGGCGGCAGTTAGAGTGCGAAGCTCTTGCCTTTTGAGTTTAATAAATATGCGAGATAGACTGGCATTGAGTGTTGGGAGTGCTTCACTCGCCTGTCTACAGACCGTAAGGGCCGTCCATGCATTATTATGTGACGATTTTGTACCTTTGTGTATAGTTGTTCTGAACCATTGGTAGGAGAGGGATACTATGGGTTCTGGTCCTACAGCGTCCATCTCCGACCCTTTTCTGGCTAGTTCATCTGCCGCATCATTGCCACGTGAGCTCCTGTGTCCTTTAATCCACTGTAGGGTTACGTGGTTTTGTATACATACCTCCATGAGTGCTTGATGGCATTCATAAATGAGCCCTGAGTCTATGTCATAGCTATTCAGTGCTTGTAGCACTGACATACTATCGAAGAGTATTCGAATGGAGTGGTTCTTAACTTTACTCGCTATGATTGCTTCTGCCGCCAGCTTGACGCCCATGCATTCAGCCTGGAATACTGTGTTGTGGTCACCAAGTGGTATTGATATCCTGATATTGAGGTCTTCTGAGAATACCCCAGTATCTGTTCCTGAATTCGTTTTAGATCCGTCACTGAAGACGCGGACCTCTCTGGGGTTCAATCCTTCATTGGGTTCTTCAAACAATTGTATCTTATATTTTTTGTCAAAGGTGTATTGTTTTGGGATCCTATCCACAGCCGCCTCCAGTAGCTGCAACGTCTTGTGGAGATAAATGAAGAAATATGTATTATTATTATACTTCCTCTTAGAATTCTTGTAATGCCGTTAGCATACAATTTTCAGTACAATTTATCTCCGCGCGTCATGATCCATTGCCATAGAATATTCGTAAAAAATAATACACATTCTTGCAATTCGAAGTTATGTGAAATTTTATTAACAAAATGAAAATAGGTGAAATAAATAACATAATATATTTATATGAAATATTAATTAATTTGTACATTATTTTATTCTTACAGTTAGATCAATTCCTCTCAATCAGAGGACAACAATGCACATAATATACAGAGTTCTGAAACTTCAACTTTTCGGAAGTAGCTATTGCCATCATTCTCTAATAAGTAATTAACATCATAAAATTATTTAAGAAGTGGGAACATCTAGGTTCCTTTCACGATTGTAATTATAATATTCGACATTCATACAGTTCTTTAATTTATTGATTAATTAGAAGTATATTGTACAGACTAAATATTAATAAGATTGTAAAATTGAATCACAGTATAAGTGGTGTTAATCCCAAAGGCCGGCTTGATAAATCGTTAAGGCCGAATTTAAGATTAATTACAATTAATTAGTTTAGAATATGAACGACACCTCAATAAAAAGGGACAGAGTCTCAGTAACATCAAAATTTTTTAAGTACATGTGAATATGTAGTGCGAAAACAATTTATAAAAAAGTGCAGTATATTGTCCATAATTGCATAGCAACATTAATAATGGTAAAAATATGAAAATCGAATACCTATTCCAATGAAGATAAGTTGCAGGAGGCAAACAACTAAACTGAAGGCAATAAAATACACAGTGTTCATAAAATTGCGGTATACCGTCGCGCATGTCCAGTCATGAGCATGCAATACAAATATAAATTTATTCCATCTTAGGACATGCATGTACAGTACGAAATATTAAAAATATAAAAGTATACTCTATCTCGTATTGCTATATTCAAGATAAGATAAGAAACAAATCGTAACTAGTTTATTAGTTAAGACTTTTAAAATTGTGTCACAATAATAATTGTGCAACAGGAATGAGTGAGTTTGTCGCCGATGATGGCGGATCCGCACAACACTTGGCACCTACTTGAGTATTTAAGCTACCATATACTTAAAACATACCAGTATTTTTCAGAAAAAGACTACTACAATCTAGAGGAGGCACATGGCTTCAGGTCGACGCAAAAGGAGTTCGAAAAATATAGAAATAAATACAACCCTATACCTAATAAATTTACAGAAGCACTAAACGTCCAGTCTGGGTCTAACCATGTATCTTCGGCGCTGTCGCAACAGCCGCCATCCAAAGCGTTAAAGACGGATGTCATTGGTGGCGGCCAACAGCGACGGCGTGTGCGCGTGCCGCCATGACACTGTGTCGAGACTGTCTTCTCCCACAACATAATCTAATGCACCATTTTCAGCGCCATCTGTAGTATCAGTATTTTCTGTACTCGTTGCCTTATTGTCCTGCGACAAAGTCGGCTGTGTCGTATCTTCCTCGTTGGTGCTAACACATGCACGGCATTGCACTTCTTCCTGAGCACCATATCGATGTAAGCTGAGGAACTTTAAGTTGGCCACAATTGAAGAGTTCATCGGGCGCGTGAAATTGACAGTGGTGGCAGAGCGTTCAATCCGACGAGTGCGGCTCTCAGGTTGCGTCAACTCCAACGAATGTTCGCGCCCGTACAATCGCGATTGACCAAATCTGGGCGTCAGTCGCCCAATGAGGTTGTCTTCCTTCCGTGCGCTTTTGCTAATTGGGGCATCTTCCGGAGGTTTTGGTTTCTTTTTAAGAAAGAACGGAGTGAGACGCTCGGCGAGAGGACGCGAAGTGCTGGATCCAGCGTCCGCCACGTTGGAGGTCGAGTTGGATGTCTTTAGCGGTTTCATCGATCTCGTTTGAGTTTTGTTCGGATTGGATTTTCTCTGCACACTGACCCTGGAGAATATTCCGCAGTCCTCCTTCTCCGGGGAATCGCCGGGTTTTACGAGTGCAATGCTCGGTTCGTCAGAAGGCTTCGGTGGGTCGTCTTCGCATACCTTGAGGACGCAGTATTCGCGCTGCAACTCGTCTAGGAGGCTGTCGTCGGTGGACAAGTTGTCGATGTTCGAGCGTGGCCGCTGCGCAGCCTCTGTGAGGGGCGGGCTGGGCGACCGCGCTGCGGGCTCTGGTGGCGACCGCGGCGGCAGCGCACGCGCACGCGGCGGCACGGCAGGTGGAGTGTCGTCATCGCGATGATGAGCGTGGCTCATAAAATTGGCCATCAGCTCGTACTCGCGGCACCGCGACACAGGCTCCGTGTCTGGGCGGCGGGGTGATGCATCGGGCTTGGCGCGCCGTTCCGGCGGCCGAGGCTCTACATCCACATATTCACATAGCGGCGGCTGCGCGGTCGCGCGCGACGGCGATAGCCGCGCTGGCTTCGGCGGCCGCGCAGGCCGCTCCGCCGACGCGTCGCTGTCCTCGGAAGGCTCATGCTTGAGGCACGACATGGTGAGATAACCGCTTCCGGCGGACCGGTTGGACTTGCCGGAAGAGCGTTCGTCGGCGTGCCGTGCTAGTTTCAGCGATTCGGAACTAGAGGCGAGGTCGCGCGTAGCCTGCAACGGCTTACCGTCGAGGTCGACCGAAGGCGCGTTGTCGCTACGCCACGGCCGCCACAGGAAGGGCCCGCCGTCCACGCTGCCCCCAGCGCCCGCCAGGTGTAGGTAATTGTCGTCGCCAATAGGCGCTTGTCTGGGGGAAAATATGCGTTAATATCATTTGTCTAGAAACATTATTTATTATTCGTAATACAAATCATTACTCACTTGCTGCCATATTTGGTTTCACGTGCTAGGGACCGTCGATACGTACGATGCCGATGTTCGAGATTGAACATGACTTCCTGGAGATCACGGAGGGTAGCCACCTCCGCCTCGCGATCCTCCGGTGACAAGTCGTCTATTAACATTAAAAATTCTATTAATAGGTGAAGTGTTTTGGTTTACGTTAACTATAATATCAATTTACAAGTTTAATTTAATACATTTTGTTTAGTACACTTAAATATTATTAAAGTAACGGCCCGTTTCCACGACGGCATCCTGTTAATTGCAAAAGCGATTTTTATAAGATTCTGTTTATTGGCGAATGTTAAGCATTCTGTAAACGTCCTATTCTGTAAGCATCCTGTAGATGCTAGTATTGAAACTGCATTCGCCAATAAAAAGGATCCCGCAAGAAAACTGTTCCTGTAATAAAAAGGATGCCGCCGTGTGAACGGGGCGTAAATGTGTTGGGTAGGAAAATGTCACTTATAATAAAATGTATAAACCTAAGTCGGGAAACTTATTAATATTAACTACAATTACATTAATAATAACACACACACTCATAGCTCCGCAGTAGGGAAACCCTGTATCGCGGGTGCCATGGACACACATATAGACAACTACAAATACACCCAAACGCGAGAGACATAAATGTAGGCCACACAAATATTTCTCCCGGCCCCCGAATCAAACCGGGGACGTCTGCGTGGCAAAATTAAATACACTGAAGATTTTTTTTAAATGGGATAAATGCGTACTGTTATGGGGGTGATGGAGGCGCTGGTCAAGGCAGTGCGCGTGCGCGACGAGCAATGCGTGCAGACGTTGCAAATCGCGCGCCGGGTCGAGACGCAGCGCCAGCGCCACAGGCCCGCGAAGCGTCTCGCGCTCGCCTGCCGCCGTGCCCTCCTCCACACCGCCGCACCCCTCCGCCTCCGCCTCTGGCCGGCTGCAGCTGCAAATATAACATGCACATAATTACACCCAGCAATGGCGGATTTGCCCTAAGGGCCAGTAGGCCCGAGCCTTGGGCGGCCAATCGTGACAAAAATTTCAATAAGGATAACAAGAAATAACTCAAAATATCCTTAAGACTCACGCACATTATGGCGGGCCGCACTGCACCGCATCGTATAACAATAATCTTCCTAAATCACTTTCGTTTATTTTATGTATCAAATATAGATATACGTTACATATCTATAATGTAATGTATAATCACTACCTCACTACGTCTGTCTGTCTGTCTGATCGCGATAAACTCAAAATCTACTAAACGGATGCTGGTACTGACTACATGGCCTGGGGCCTGGGGATTGCAAATCCGCCACTGACACCCAGGTACTTTTTTGTATATATGATTTTGGATAAAAAGTATACTTGTGACTAATTTTTGCATAGTGGAAACAGCATGTATATATACCATGTCCAATAAGTATCTGCGTAGTAACCAGTGTGTGGCCGCGCTGCGGGCGAATGGCGGCACAGCGCAGACAGCAGACGCACCCACTCGGCGCGTTCCACGCAGTTGCTGGCTTGCACGAATAGGACGCGCTCGCGGTGCACTGATGATTCAAATTATATCGACCATTATTAGGTTATCGATAGGCAATAAATAGGTAACGGTGAAAATAGTATGGTTATTAAGTTTTATTGAATGTCATGATCCGCACCACCACGATGTTAAATTATTTTTTGTGAAATTACTCCACTTACAGAATAGTTTGTTTTAATTATCAAACAATGATCGAACACCTAGAAAAAATTCACCTGGATCCATTCCAGGTTCGGCGCTTAGGGTTTTTTTGGGGGTGTGACATATGGAACTGTTTTTGTTTCTGCATGACTTCGTCATAGGCCGGCTCCATTTGCGATGCCGACAGTTTTGGCAAGAAAAGAAGGTGATTCTTTGTTTAATGGTCGCGGGCCGTAGTTTGCCTATCCGACGTAGAGCAGCGCCAGAGAGCCAATTTTTGTTTACAGACACGTTGGTTTTGGTTTAGTCATGTCAGATGTATATTACCTAATGACGACTTTGGTATGACCAATTTTGTTTGGAAACAGACTATCTAAATTAGTTAATCTGGTATGCTGTGCAAAGTAATTGCGTAATTGGAAATCAGATATTTGGTGATAACTGCCTGTCATCATTATTATTATCTACATACCGATCTGGAATATGTTGTTGGCGCCGAGAGGCGCGCCGGCGGGCGGGCAGTCGACAGGCGCGACGGCCACGACGCCCGACAGAGGAAGCCGATGGGCCGGTGTCTTCGCGCCGCACCGCGACCATGTCAGCTCGCCACTGCAATGCAAATTCAAATAATTATACGTTGCCGACATTGCATGTATCGAAATAGGAAATACACAAACATCTATAATTTTAGCCTTATAGTTTTTAGACGGTTATTTCTAACTTTACAGAAGTAAGTTTCAACTGCTGAGCTTGTAATCTGTAAAGCAGTTTCAGACAATTTTACAGAACTAACTTTGCGGAAATTTTAAAGAGTTTATGAATACCTTACAGAGATTTAGGACATTCAGATTTGAAACACATTTATCAAGAACTGCATTCAAAAATATTTTCTCATAAATAAACAATGACATAGAAGCATAAAAAGATATTTAAATTGAAATACAAAGGAACGCACATACTAAAAAAGTTTGCTCTATTAAAAACATATAACTAACATATAGGTGTTGCTGTTAGTTACTACTAACAGAGCCACATTTATAAGGGAGTTTATCTCGAAATAAGAAGCTTTATTGAACTAAGTTTTAACTACCTTGTAAGTCTAAAATGTCTTCTCTTAGCGTGCGCGTGGGCAGCGCGCGTCCAACGGCGCCGAGGCGAGCCCGCGCCTGCGCGTACTCCCTCCGAACGTTTTATCATCGTCCTGTTAGTATAGTTAAATATAACAATAAACATTATGGCTCTTTTTTTATTACATCAAGTGACGGGACGACAAGTTGTGCGTCTGATGGTAAGCTACACGCCTGTCCATAACAGTTGCAGTGCCATTCAGAGCTTTAAATCGCAAAGATCTGAAGGGTACTGCCACTGCGCCCGTCACCCTGAGACGTAAGCTGATAAGTTCCATGTGCCTGTAATTTCACCAGCACCCTTAACCTTCAAAACCGGAACGCAGTAATGCTGACATTACTGCATGGCGGCAGAAATAGGTAAGGTAAACTTCCATCAAGGCTTAGGTAAAATAAATAAAAGTGCAGTAAAATTCAATTGTAGCAGGGTAAAGATGGTGGAGAAGATCTTTACTGTACGTCGAGGGCCATTCATGTCGTGAACAGTACATTATAGTATAATACATACCCGTGTCTGATCCAAGTGAAGCAATAACCAAAGATATAGTTTTAAATTAAAAAGTTCACAAACAAGTAATTGTTTATTTGAGTCGTAAAGTAATCGGCAGAACTTACCCCTCTTTAAGTAGCACCGAAGTTTCCTGGACGTTATTGTTCTGCGTGTCTGAGCTAGTGGAGATTACTTCCAGGAACTGTCTTATTGCTTGTACCTGAAATAAGAGCCATATATTTGAACTATTAAACTGGGTTGCCGTGTGTGGTGCCCTCAAAACTAATATCGTTGCTCTGGTACTCTGCCCTCGGAACGTAAAAAGGCACAACGTATAACGTAGGAACATTTCAAGACCAGATAATTGGTGTGATTCTTTTACATTTATATTCATTTTTCAACTAATGAAAAAACACAGATCGTCATAAATCAATTTACGAGTAAAAAATATGAAATTCCATTGAATTCGGTGGCTGGATAAAAATATTAATAATATTAAATTATCGACTAATATTGTAGATAGAGTTACAAGAATCAGACAGGATGTGGGTTATATTTTTCTGTATCTAATGGAGCAATGAACATATTTGACGTAACTCCATTTATGCCATTCTTCCATGAGGGGTGCGAATTATATTAATAATTATAACAGGCATAATAAATATAAAGAAACCCATATACAACTAAGTTATGAAATAATAACAATCATACGATTACATACTTTATAGATAGAACTTCAATAAAAAATTGGCACTGGACCAAAATAAACAATAATAAAAAATAAAATAAAGTAGCCGTCATTTATGCTAATGTTCACAGTGCAGTGCACGGTAATCCAGTGCAGAAAAACAGAACTATATTTGTTGGGATATGACATAATGTACCGTAGACTTACGTGTCTAGCCGTGCAGAAACTACGGTACAGCTCGGCCATGTACTCCTCCTTGCAGACCTGCTGCGCCGACCGACTGCTCACCAAGTTGCCTAACGACTGGATCGTCTTCGAGATCAGCGTTAAAGTCCGATTCGTTTGTGGGTCCTTTACAACAATCAGCATTTGTTATTTTGTGAAAAAAATATCCTAGGTTCAAGGGCGTTGGAAAGTGCCAAAGATGGATTAGTGTCGCCCCACACCAACTAAATTTAAGCCGCGTTAATTTAGGCGCTTTCCAATTTCTTCTTTTACTTTTTCTAATATTAATTATATAATAATAATTATACTCTTGAACAAAAAAGCAATCTCTAATTTGATGAAACGGGAAGCGTCGAAATTACGCACTTGAGGCGTACATCACAAATTGACAATAAGATATAGAAGGTAGAGATTTTAGTCTCGCTGCATTTTCGCCTCCCGGAATAAAGTCGGATTCTCGAGACACGACGCGGTCTCAAGAATCCCGGGAAAAACGAGACTTTCGAGACTATTTCGAAATAGGTTTTAATACTAAAAAGCTAAGCTTTTAAACATTAATTCAAATTATAAAATAAAAAAAAATATTTATGAAAGCCCCACTCTACAGTGTCACTATGTCCATATAACCAGTATAAATTTACTGTCTCTTTTTTTATTTACTAGATTATTTAATGCTGTTTAATTAATTGAGTTTTTTAAAAACTGAAAACATCTAGTCTCGAAAATGCTAAAAAATGTTAAGATATTCTTGAAATTTTCTAGACCGAGAATTCAGGGGTGAAAGTCTTAGTAATAATAATAACTTACAATCTGTTCTGTGGTAAGGTCGAACAATCGGGGCCCGAGTATAGCAGGCGCGAAAAACCGCAGGAAAATGAACCCTGAGACGACCGAGTAGCGCACCTCGGCGTTACACGGGAAATGCCGCGCCGCACATTGGCGCAGCGCGTCGAACAGCCGGCACATCGCCGCAGGGCACATGGAATATGACGACGTTATCGCCGCGAACACCTGTCCAACAGCAAACATCATGGTCAACATAGGTACTCTAAATAGATATAATAATAATGGGATGGAGGGCCTGCTCGACACGGGAAACATTGTTCGCCGCTTCCTTTAATAACCATTTAATTAATTAGGCAATTACTCCAAGGTATGGCGAGGTCGTTGGTTCGAGTCCAGCTGGATCGTTGGATTGGTTCTTCGTGTTCGATCTTTGTAATTAATAATTATAACGATCTGGTGGAGTAATTTCATAAAAATTTAATATCATATTTGAAATTCAATAAAGTTAATATTGTATTGATTAAATTTTTATTGAATTGATATTCAACGGCACGGTATGCAAGAAAACGTCGGTTCGAATCCGACCGGATCGAAGGAATTTTTTCTGAGTGGTCGATCTTTGTATTAATAATTATAACAAACTAGTGGAGTAATTACACAAAAAATAATTGAATATCAATTCAATAAAAATTTAATTAATACAGTGAATAGCGACATCTCTCGCCAGGACTGGTAGCTGTAAAGGTACTAACTGGGTGATAAATCTGTCATAGATTTCTCATAGATGGCGCTACGACTAAAAAGTCTTTGAAAGACCAAGTACAAAGACACGACGGAAGCACATAGAAAAATTCGTGAGGTCCGTTGGTTCGTTCCGTGGCTTAGTTGGTATAGCGTGTGGCACGGTATGCAAGAAGACGTCGGTTCGAATCCGACCGGATCGAAGGAATTTTTTCTGAGTGGTCGATCTTTGTATTAATAAGTTAATATTGTATTTATATCGTGCCTTTTTTGAAGACGGATTCCAGTTTAATGCGTAAAAGTGTTGCCCGCTTGCGAGCAGCTAGTGATTGCAGTCGATAAATATTCTATGGACTATCGATTGGTCACGCTTAAGGAGTAAATAGCTGTACTTGTTTCATTTGAATCATCCTCGACAATTACTAAGCACAAATTCATCTGCATTGTCAATTTTTGTAAGTTTGTACATACATACATACATGTACATTGTATTTAGTAGTTTTTTTTATGTAGTTGGTAGAACTATGTTTATGAAAAATACAAAGTGGAAACATACGTTAAAGATTTTCATTTTAATTCAAAAAAGATAATCAAATTCGGCTGTTCTTGTTAAAATGTATATGAATAAAAAAAATTCTCGATACTAGTAGGTAAATTGTGAAAATAAGAATAAAGAAAGCAATAACGCAATTAGTAATCATTATATTACGTAACATTAACAATCCAGTAATTTTTGGCAAAATTTTATCGTTCGCAATCTATAGATCAAGCTATCGACAACAACCACATAACTATTTAAAATTTAAAACCTTAAAAACCTAAAACCTAACCTTACAAATGTCATTTTACTCCGTCTTCAAAAACGACATACTATAGTAATTACGGCTATCATAAAGTACGGTCCGAAGGACTTTTGACAAATACATAATATTCATATGCCTAGAATCGTCATTCTCAGTATAGGTGGGTAGTTATTATTACTTACTCGCTCGACGTAGTCTTTCAGATTGACGAGATTGGTAGCAATAGCGGCGGAGGGTTTGACTCGCGCGGGGTCGATTTCGCAAGGACGCTTCTCGGCCAGCACCGCGGCCAGAGTGGGCCGCAGGACTGAGCGCAAGTATGAAGCGCCACTTAGACGCATCGCCTCGTCCATCATTTTCGAAACAAGTGTGTTGCCGCGGAATATCGTCGTCGCATCGCTGTAGAATATGAATATATTTATTATTAATAGTTACCACGACCAAATTGAGGACGTACTAAAGTAGCGCGAGGTCAAGAAACCCTTAACCAACGAGCATGTATGAAAGCACTGACGCGTCGTGATAAGGCGAAAGAGTTGTGTCATCAGGATCGTAGTGCGTGGATTGTGTGGGTGTATGTATGTATTAATGGTAGTAAACTCCATATCGTAGTAGTAGTATGAGCATTACTGCGTTCCGGTTTTGAAGGGTAAGGGTGTTGGTGAAATTACAGGGACATGGGACTTGTCGACTTATGTATCAGGGTGGCGGGCGCAGTAACAGTGCACATAAGATCTACGCGATTTAAAGCTCTGAATGGCACTGCAACTGTGTCGCTTACCACCAGGCACACGACTTGTTCGTCCCGTCACTTGGTATTGTAATAAACAAAAATGTAAAAAAATCTATAAATGTCACAGAATATGATGCTCGACGCTGATGAGAAATTTAGTATACTAAAGATTTTAATGATTACTAAAGTACAAGAACAAACTCAAGAAAGCAAAAATAGATTAAGTTACTTAAACATGATGTCAACGCATGGACTCCTCTCTGGACACTCCCGTCCTACTAGAGAAAACAACTATCTAGACCACTGCTATCTAAAACTGAATAATAACAATAATAGAGCCTGGATCGGAGTTTTGAACACAACAATTCCGGATCATTTAATGGTGCTTCTTAATATTTCCAATAATTCGAAAATTTACAACCAAAATAAACAAAAGTTGACTATAATAAAGCTCTTGAAAGTCTAATCAAAAAACAATTAACTGCATTACTACAATGCAATGACCCCAATATACTCACAAATACATTAATAAGCATGTTACAGGAATCATTGAAAGAAAATACTGCTATTGTAAACATCCCTAAATCCAGGCGAATTATTAAGCCATGGGTTACTCCAGGTATATTACGATGTCAGGAACAGAAATAAAATGCAAAGAAAGTTGTGCGCTGATCCCGATAACCAAATTTTAAATATCACCTATAGACAATACCGTAATTATATCAATAAACTTCTAGAAGTTAAAACGGAAATACGAGAGAGAGAAGCTTGCTAAAACTAACAAAAATCCAAGACTGTTGTGGTAGCGTATAAATAATATAGCTAATTATAAGCCGGAGAAGATGTCACACGTAGAATTACTGAAATTAAAACAATATCCTTCTGAGTCTGTTAATTTTGTGAATAATTACCTTGTGAATGCAGGTAAAGAACTGGCTGAGAAAATTCTCACAGCAAATTCTCAGAAGACTACTAATGTTAACAACATAGACAAAATAGCGCTTGAAGAGTACTCGGGAAATTCTGAGTCGAATTCCAATGCTACTAATTACAGAATGACGTCGTTTGTTCTGCTAGAAACTTATCCCGAAGAAGTTTACTCTGTTCTTATGAATCTGAAGTCCGATTGTAGTCCGGGATGGGGCTATATTACAACAAGGTTTTTGAAATTGGCACATGTTGAGGTAACTCCAATTATCACAGATTTGGCGAATGAATGTTTCCAACAGTCTTTCCTGTTGCCCTAAAATGTTCAATCATTACATCGGTGGAGAAGGGTGGAGAAGGAGACGATGCCGGCAATTATCGAACCATCTCTGTTTTAACGTCAACGTAGGTTTTTAAAATGATTAGACATGTAGCAGGAAAATACCTTTGAAATATAGTGTACATTGCACTAGCTCAGTTGGTTATGTATCTATGTTGTTGCATTTCTGTTTAAGGTGGCACTGCTAAGACGAAGTTCCTGGAGTTGGAAAGAGCACAAAGATCCCTAATTAAAGTGATGTACTTTCTACCGTATAGATTCTCCACTGAGGAATTGTATAAGCATGCTGATCTATTGTCTGTTAGAAAACTATATGTTTTATGTTGCATTCTGAGGTTACACAAAACTTTAACATTTGTCTATAAAATATTCAACAAAAGAAGAAATCGTCCTGTTGCCTCTGCCATACCTGTTAAAACAAGTTTTGCTAAAAGACAATTTACAAAATGTATAAGACGAAGTGCCGATGTATACATTAAATAAAAAACTTCACATTTATCCTATGAATTTATACGAGTGTAAAAGTACCCTGAGCGCATGGCTTAAAACACAAAAATACGGTGATGTGGAAGGTCTGTTACAAACTATGATGTGACAGAAACTTACACCTAACATATGTTACAGATGAGTTATAGTAGATACACACACAGTTACACGCATTGTGCACATGCACACGGGCACATAGACACACGCATACTCGAAGATACACACCCATACACGCACACTCATGCACGCACACACACACACACACACACACACACACAAACATACACACACGCGCGCACTCACGCACGCACGCGCGCACACACACACACACACACACACACACACACACACACACACACACAC